AGTTCTCCACCAGGGAGTTCGCCACCAAGTAGCTCATCACCAAGGCACGTCACCACCGGGTCAAATAACGAGGTACTTAGTCAAAAAAATTTATACATCACAAAAAATTGGTACATGACCAGAAATGGTTACATCACAATCTTTTCTTTTTACTCATTTCATATAAAACTTTTAAAATTTTAAATGATATGGTTTCTGCAACTTCAATGTACCTGAGAGAGATGATTTGTGAAATGACATGATTTATAAAATGGTTTCTGCAACCTCAACTTCAAGTGGTTGGTGGAGAATAAAGCATTCAACAAACATTCTCTATTTAGGGAAGAAAAATTAAGAAACTAGTAAGGAAATCTATTTAATTCGGGAAAGACGAAAAAGAAATTAAGAATGCAGGACTAAATCTATCTACAAAGGAAACGTATTGGAGGTAAATAGGAGCATGGACAGAATTATATCTTAGTAGCATCATGCCCAACCTTTCATTTAACCCATGGTTGTGCAAAAGGCTGGGCAGAAATCCAACGTTCATTGTTTTCTGGTGTGCTTTCCCAAGCCTAAAACTGGGCCAGCTGAGAATCCAGCCCTCTCAAACAGCTAGGACTGCAACTCGGATCGGATTCATCCAATCTCAACCCAAAAAAGTTGAGTTGGGTCAGATTGATTATCAGGCTGAGGTTAGGGCTGAATTTTGCCAAGGCAACTTCACTTCGGGTTGGACGTTTGGGCAACCTGACCCAACCCGATCGAACCCAACTCTTCTATCGCTGATATCCATATCAATTTATCTACCATCATATTAATTTGTCTTAACTCCTAAACTCTAACAACTCTAATTAATGACAAGTTGTCATTAGTGTTTTTTTCATTAAGTTCTTCGTTTTTTTATCATTTTTGTCTATGTGGAATTAGATTTAAAGCATCTAGCATCCATATATCGCATTGTATCATGTATCGCACTTATGGAATACTATTGTGTGGTATATATGTGTTTGGGTTCTCTTCCTCTAACAGCTAACTTTTAAGGGTGAATTTTCCTAAGGCACGTAACTCTCTCTCTCACACACACACAAACTCTAGAATAAAGAAGAAAATGCTATGAAATTTCTTGGGCTACTCTCGTTGCGCTTCTGAATTAAACTTGGATGGGTTTCAAGTAAATTACACATTTACACCAGAGGAAAAGGAGAATATGGTTTCTTCCTCAATAGTCAGTTTTATAAACCTACTTACAAATGTCTGGTAAGAAGCCAGGAAAGTGCCTTTCGTGCCACCTGACTAGACTACTTGATTATGAATAAGAAGGACCATCATCTCAGCCTTTACTGCATTGCCATCTTCGGTAAGCCACAATTGGATTGATGACAGAGGTGGCAGCAGTTCACAACCCAACCCACTTCATATCTTCTCTTTGTTATGGGTTGGGTTAGATATATACTTTTACTCATGGGTCATTCACAAGTCACAAAACCCATCGGGTCACCTAATGGTTGGGCTGGTTGGGTAGCGGGATGGCCAATGAGTAATTAACCAGTTTAATGTAAATTATTGTCCAAATTTATTTTGGCAACCAAATGCAAGCACAAGTACGCATCTCTCTGCACCAATCTCCAGATTGTTCTCTCTTAGGGGTGTCACCACTCACCATGTTGAATTCAGGCTGGGACCGTGTTTTTGCATATCTAAACATGGGCTCTTTAACAAGTATGGATTCCAGGTCTTGATTAGCATTTGTTCTGGGTCTTGTGGGGTTTGGGCTTATTGTACACCTGCACCCACCAAATTATTTATTGTGTATCGGCTTCGACAAGGATTTCTTTCTTTTGGTGTCAGAGTCAGATTGGTAAGGAAGGGTTAAGGAGCAAGAAGAAGAATTTTGTAGTTTAGGGAAGCCTGTGAAGTATAGGTACCAAGACCTGCACCCTCGAAAGTCGAACCCAAATCAACATCACAATAACATAGTAATTAATTGAACTTGAGGGATAACAAAGTCTTAATAGATAGATCAATAAAGAGTCAAGAGAGGAGGCAACAGAAATAGGAAAGCGCAAGCTGAGACCTTAGAAATGCCAACATCATAGATGAGCATTATTAATTATTTGGCCAAATGAATTGACCAACGCATAACGGATACACCTATATATAACCATCTTAATTAGTTAAAAATAGAATTTGCTCTTACCAAACTAATTAAAATTCTCCTGTATATATATTTATATATTATATATAAAAACTCATATATTGAAGTTGGAAGCGGTGACTATCCTTGTTTGTTTTTGAGTTGTGATGGCCGAACCCGAAAATAAAAGTCTACCAGACACACTGGATTCTAGAAAGAATATCTCCTGTAAGCCAGTCTGCCATGTGCCTGTAAGCCTCCTGGGTTAGATGAACGCCATCCCAGTGAATGCGGTTAGCTGGGTTAGGACAGACGGGGACACCTGGAGATCCGCACATCCTGCTTCCATCGAAGTTGTATTCACCTCCGATCCCACAGCAAGCTTTCAGTAAGGAACTCGCAACAAAGCCTAATCGATCATCATATATGGGCCAAATTAATTAAAGAAGCCGTACGTCATAATTAGCAACAATTAATTTGTTCTAATTAACAATTCAAAAGACAGAGAGAGAGAGAGAGAGTGAGTGATCAGAATTCAGAAATTAATTAAGGGGAGGGGACCGGGGAGAACAAATGACAAATGGACAATTAATGTTGTAATATATACATACTGACCCAGAGAAGGAGCCCGACGAAGAACCGACTGGAAAGCGGTGTAGTAATCGGCATAGAGAATAACAACGTTAGGATAGTCCCGTCTTAATCCGTCCAAGGCACGCTGCAGGTAATTGTTATGAAGCATTGCAAAATCGTTTAGGCCACTGAGGCACCCCATGTCATCGTATGCCCTTGGATCGTTGTTGCGGAACGATGTAAGGTAGATGGGGATGCATCCTATCGGAAAATTCCCAGGAACAACAATCCGGATGCCACCCATCCCTATTACTTCCTGTGCACATAGAGAGAGAGAGAGAGAGAGAGAGAGAAGAGAAGAGAGAGTATCCCCCAACTCCATTAGTTCCATTAGTTGCGCGCGGAAAATAGAGATATCAAATCATCATTACCATTTATTATTATATAACGTACACAATAAAGAAGAACTCGATCGAGATGGATGGTTCCATATAATTAATTAAAGCGAATGCGCTTGCTTACTCACTCTGACAGCGTTGGTTATGGCTCCCACCACATAGGGTACGTAAGTCCGAATCTCTTCAATGGGTTTGCCTTGAAAGAAGGCGTAGTTATAGTCGTTACCTCCGATCTCTCCCACTAACACAAGAGCTCTTTCAAGTCTGTTATTGTTACCACAATCTGAACATTCATACAAATCATATCATGCATGAGAGATTGAGAATGAGTACTACGTACTAATCACACAACTCTAGTCTACACTAGCTAACAAGTAATGGGTCAAGCTGTACCTGTCTGATCAGTATGACAGAGGGAGTTCAGATGGGTTCTGAACCAGTTCAATTGGGTGCTAAGTGGACTGTTGGACAAGGGCACGTGAAGGTTTCTAGCAGAGAAAAACGAAGCATCAAGTGCGGTGCTTCCTGCCACGGCAAAGTTTACTCCATGATCGAATGAGACGCCTCTCTCCAAGTATGGATTAACAAGTGCAAGACGGAGAGCCATAGCTGTGTAAATGTCAATCATGCTTCAGCAATCTAGACACTAGAGAGGTCTTGCCCCCAGCCCAGAATCCCAGATCATTAAACAATACAACAAACAGAGAATTTAAAAAAAAAAAACCAAAACGTAATTTTCTTTAATTAATTAATTAAACTCACCAATATAGTCGATGATCAAGAGCCCATTGGAGCAGCGACCAGTGGGCCTGTGGAAGAAAGTCTCACCATACGGGAAGCGAGCTGCGTAGGACATAGCACCGGCCGGACCTTCACGAATAAGGTTGCCGGTATCGGAAATCGAATCGCCTAGCTGGTATATAGCTTCAAACGGGCAAATCGTATGTTGTGCACTAGTAGTAAATGGAAGAAGAAGAAGAAGAAGAATTAGTGTAAACATGTAGAAAGCCGAGGCCATGGTTGAAGCCGATCGAATTTTGATTGGTGAGGGCCTGGGCTTTATGATGAACTATCTCTAACTCTAAAGGAAGAGGGTAGTATTATATAGAAATAGAAGAGGGAATGGGTAAGTTCTAGGATACCTTTAACAATAATAGCATTTAGACTTGTATTAGGAGAATAATCAGATCCATCGAGTAAGCATCACAATCTAATAGGATACCTTGTGATCATTGCCACCGTTGGATCTCCAATCACAAATTCAGAATACACCAAACGGACGGGGAAAGTGGGTCCAACACTGTGCTCCACAAAACGCGCGGGCTCGTTAGTCGTTAGGGTTCTTGGCCAGGGGAGGGGAGTCTCTCTCGTCTTGTCTCCGCTCTTTTATAAATTTGAGCGCATAGGTTTTGCGTTCTAGGGTTTTCAGCTGTTTCTTGGTTGCGTTGTGTCTCTGTTTATAGCTTTCGTCTTATTGTTTTATTTTTTATTTTTTTTCTTACTCAAAAGATTTGATTGAGCTTTGTGATAGAATGGGGAAGGATCTTAGCAAATGACGAGATATGTTTTCTTGACTGAGAAAATCGCCATGAAGCTTCAAACATCGAGCATTTTAAAACCCATGCTCGGACTTCCCAGTTAGCTTAGCTTTCTTCATATCGCGCTGCATATTTCTTGCTCTCTCCTTTATTTATTTATCCTCTTCTCTCTCTCTCTATTTGGAGTGTAGAGATTTTTCGATCAGTTAGGTTGCCTCTCGACATGACTGCACTCCCCAAAATGTTGAGAGATCGCCAGCCAAGCCAATGACTCATAACCCCTCCCGTCTGAACCTCAGATCGTTGTCTGCCTTGAGATACTTAGATTCTTTCTTCAAGGAAAGAAGAGGGTCAGATTGGGGTTGGGTCGAGGGTACCCATTGGGTCATAAAGATGAGGGCCGGTTAGGTTGACGATAACAGATTAAAATATCAATATAGTATGTCCGATATGGGGCGTATCAATCCGATATGCCACCGTATCTATCGGTATTGTGTAGTATCGGCCGATACAGTCAGGTACGCATCAATATGAGACAGTATGGAATCTCCGCTTGACAACTTCGCTATTAAAAAACGCAGCTAACGTAACTTGGATTCAAGACCACAACCCACCTAGTGCTCAATAACAATGCATCTTTAACTACTGAACCAACATTTATTCTGTGTTAATAAATAGAATACATTAACTTTTATTACTTCATAGATAAAATCCCAACCAGCATACAATTATCTTCAATAACTCYAATTAAAAATTAAAAAGAATAATATTTAAAATTAATATTTTATAAACCAATAGAATAAATAATCTACCAAATCCACATTTATATCAAAAAGTTGATTTTTAATTTAAAAAAATTTTAAAATATTAATAATATAATAATTATTTTAATACTTAAAATTTACTAATTTGCACATGATATATATCTCAAATTTTTTTATAAATTATTAAATAATATTTTAATTTGCATTAAATAACCATGTATTTATTATTTACAAAAATAAAAATATTATTTATAAAATGTTTAAAAATGTAATATTAATTGAATCAATCAAATCCACTAATCTATATTTATATTAAAAATTTATATTCTTTATTTTAGAAATTAATAAAAATATTAATAATGAAATAATTATTATAGTAATTAAAATTTGTGAATTTTCATATAATATATATCTTTGAAATTTAAATTGATTTGATATTTTAAGTTAGGATTATATATTATTATAAATTATCAATTAATTTTGATTTGCATTTTATAATAACACATTTAATATTTACAAAAATGAAAATATTGTTTACAAAAATTTTGAGAATTAATTTTTAGTTAACATTTTTATTAATGTTAAAAATTATAAGTAGCAAAATAAAAAAAAATGATATAATAATTGAAATATAATAGTTGGGTATATTTTGTGCCTGAGACTTTAATATAAAATAAGATAATAATGGATTTGTGCATTTATTAATTTGTAAAAATCTGTATAATATGTTTCTTACAAACTTGATTAATGCATATCAATAAAATTGTATGATATGTATGCATTCCGCTATATTAATTATAATACATGCATTTCCAAAGTGTATTCATATTTGTATCCGTATTCAAGTTATCCAATACAATACCTGATACCAAGGTTCAAAATATCGATACACCTGATACACCCCTACCGGCATATCGGGTGTTTCAATACTAACTTTTTACCTTTTTTTCTATTTTTCTGGAAAACTAGTTCAGGGAAGCCGGTCTAGAACCCCTCCATCCCCTGAACCGATCAGACCCTCGATACACCCACTGTAGGGGCACATCGAAAGGGTCCCAGAACAAAATGTATCAATCGATATGGGCCGATACATAACGATACTATGAATCTTACCTGATACCAATACTTAAATCCTTGGTTGACGAGAGGATCAATACAATACCTGATACTGATGAGTCAGCTCAAACTGTATACCCAAAAACAATGGTTTGGGATTGAATGTGCTTACAGATGAAATTGCAATCAAGCTCAATATGCTTGATGCACTCATGGTAAACGGGATTAGCAACAATGTGAAAGGCAACTTTGTTATCACAATGGAGTTGCATAAACTCTAGATGATTGAGGCCTAAATCATAAGAGACGTTTCAGCCATAATAGCTCACTAGTGGCTCAGCCATGGAGAAAATAAGTAGGCAAGGAATCCTGAAAAAGCCACACCCCGAAAATAGGGAGACACGATAAACAGTAGATCTGTGATTTGATAAGGCGGCAAACAAAACCAGATGTCCACGTTTGACAGCCCTCTGCTGTCCATAGACCTCCCTATCCATAGCTACTCATGTGKACCATGTATACAGTATACCCCAAATATATATCAGAAATGCAATMCCTTTTAGTAATACCCATTTCCGACCAAGGGAAATCCCCTGTATACCTCCAACAAGTCAAAAAGAAAATTATAGAAAAGAAATAACTGATAAGAAGAATAGAGGCAAATGCTCCAAACCAATAATATCTGCATACATCCAAATGTTTTCAAAATGAAGTACAAAAGAACAGACAAATTCTCTCTCTTCCCATCTGTCCATTATTCTCCGTCCCCTTCTTTTCAGGACCCATCATCTACTAAATCTTCTTCGCCTAAAATGAAGCTTTTACATGATATAACTTCTTACAAGTTTCCAGTAATTGAAGGATGAAATCAAAACCAACCTCCCAAAAATATCATACGAGGATAAATAATCTGTTCTAAATTAAAAAGAATACACTCACACCACCAGCATTAACCATCAAGGCAGGGTCAGCAACCTAYGGTTATTAATCTGTCTAAGAACTACCTCATTTTCTTGTCTAAGAGACACGTCCATTGATCATCAGCCAAYGTTTTACATCYTTGCCAGCTCAGTAGMAGTAGGGGMTGCAGCAGGGGCAACACCACCAGTGGTAGGCCTGCCATGGAAACAAATCCAATTGTCAATCAACTACAGTGAACAAAAACAGGGAAAAAGASAGATTTCTCCAAAGKGTCAACAATGATATCAGAAAAACTTGTAACCAATCAACCAGTATCATAAGTTGSAASRAATCAAGTTGTATTTATCAAAATTCATGGGGGATTTTCATTGGTCAAAGTTCTTCCAGTATCATGTCTTYCGGACAACAWAGATTTTTCCTTCWCCAAAATAGAAGTTTCAGGGTCTCCAATATYCATCAACAAMAATTAGATGYTMCAGGATGGCCAAGATAAGACAATATTGAAWACAACAGAATAARCAATCCAACAATTTGAAGGAAGAAACTTACAGCCCAACAAAAACTTTAAACGCATCATAGATTCCCCATTGAGCACCTGTGAGGGTACCAATCATGACAATACGCAATGGAAGACCACGTGTGAAAAGGCCCCACACCCCTAGCTTCTTCACAGCCTGCAAG